GCTCCATGCAGGGAGCCTGATGCGGGACTCGATCCCGGGTCTCCAGGATCACACTCTGGGCTGAAGGCAGGTGCTAAACCGCTGAGCCACCCAGGGATCCCTTAATTCAGTATTTTAAAAGCCCAAATCATGTATATTTAACCACTACAAGCAGAGCAAATTTCAAGATTTTTTACTTTTGGCTAGAAGAGAATCACTCCGTGTGGCATCTCTTGGTGGTCAGAAGCTTGAGTGGCAATTCTGTGCCTCTAATAACAATGGAAAAGTAGTTACTTAAAATGCCATTTGTTGCAGGGGCAGTGTCTTTTAAAATAGCCTGCTCAGGGGTGTAAACTAATAAAAAGACGGAGACAAAAAGTTAGGAAAGCGATGATCTGTGTAGAGGGCTTGTTGTCTAGGCTATTTAGCTGACCCAGTTACAACTAGAAGTTTTGGTGCCACGTTAATGAAGCAGATTATTCCTCAGCACTTTTATGTAAGTAAGTGCAGTTTGCACACATGCATCTCCTTCCTTTTCCAGTTGGGATACCTCCCTGACTCCTCACCAGCTCAGCTGACCGCCTGAGCCCAGAATGTGGCTTCCCATGTTGTGAGTGGTCATGGACGGTTCTTTGCTGAAAGTCGCTGATTACCTGTGCTCCCTTGTGTGCAATGATGAGTGCTTCCGGGCCCTGCCTAGTGTTTACTCCTCTCTCCTCGGCCGAATCCCTTCCTGCAGGCTCAGCCTCAGAAAGGACCAAGTCCCATCATAGCAGGCAAACTTGCAGACAGTCAGAGAACCATTGCTATTGCTGTTGCTATGAGCCCGGTACAGACTCTTGGAACTGGGCTTCTTCCCTGGTTCTATGATTCTTTTATCAGATATTTATCGAGTGATTGTTAGGAGCCAGGCCTTGTGCTAGGCACTCTGGCTATGAAAATTAATAAGTAATCGTTCTCTTTTCCCCTAAAGAGTTGTCATTGTTTCTGGGAGGAACACACGTAATGGCTCCTCCATTTATTGGCACTGCCATTGTGGTAAAGGTTCTAATGCACCTTAAAAGGCTGTGACATGCCTTCTGGAGAAAATAAGTGTGTTAGATAAGCTTTGTTCAGGCATGAGTTGTAGAGCTGTTGGCCTTGAATCCAATGTTAATGAATCACCCACATATATTAAATAAGATATCTTTAAGCAGAAACACACATGAAACAAGGTTATGCATTGACCCATTCATGAAAATGTGATCAGAGGCTTGCAGGAAAGTAACCCTGTATTTCCCCTAGACCCAATGGTTCAGTATTTGCTGATTCGGTGAACAGGTGACTTTATAGAACATAACTACCAATAACAAGAATTGACTGTAAATAGAGTAAGGGATTTGTGGAGCTAAAGGGGGGCCCCAGGCACTCTGGAGTTGGAGTCCTCCAGAGCGCAGGAAGTCTGGCAATAGCTACCCCTTTCAATAAAGACTCAAATGATACGGGGCTTTTGGAAACACTGACAAAGATGTTCTTTATTGTGTGTGTGTGTGTGTGTGTGTGTGTGTGTGTTTAAGATGTTCTTTTCCTGTCTTTAAAGGAGAAGCCCAAAATCTTGGCCCATCTTGGTTCTGATTATAGGATCCATTTGGGTGAATCTCTGTCCAAGATTTTCAGAACTGGAACCCTGCTCTGACTCACAGCCACTTCCCTTCTACCGTCTGCCCTATCTTGTCTCTGATCCCAGGGACCCAGTTCTCTGCCCATTTTCTGTTCAGATGCCAATTGCTTGTCTACCCAGACTTCCCTGGGTAAGCTGCCCCTGATTTCAGAGGGTCCCTGCACTGGCTCTACCCTCAGGTGCTTGTTCCACCCAATGGGGCATGTCACTGGTAGACTCCAGCCCTCTCAAACCGTCCCGTCCTGCCACCACAGCTAGGGTCATAGTTTGAGTCAGAGCTCAAAGGCTTCCAGGAACCTACATTTTACTTATGAAAAAAGATGATTCCTAAAAGGAGGTAGAAGCGTCTTCTAGAAATAAGTAAATTCAGGCCCTGTGGGAACTGAAGCTGGCAATGAGAAGCCATGGGGAGTCAGAAAGATTCTCGGCCTCCTCTGGATTTCTCTGGCTCTCTGCGCCTGTCTTTCCTTCTTTCCATTATCCTTCCCTTTTTTCCCACTTTTTGTCATCCTTGGTTTCTTTTTCCTGCTTGGTCTTATTCTCTTTACAGACCATTTTGCTCCCTCTGACCACTCCTCCCCTCCAAGCATGAAGCTTGGCTTTGCCCTGCCATTAATTCCAACACCCATTCTACATGGCCTTTCTCTCCAATGCCTGCTCCCAAATATGCTTTGTTTGCGTAAAGAGGGGAGAATCTGGAAGGCTCACTAGCTTATGCACACTCCTCGTAAGTCAAGTGCTCACCCCTGGTCCAGTCAGCTGACACTGGAGGGCGAAGAGAACATAAGACAAGTCATGGCCATCTACACCTACTCCTTTTGTGAGGGTAGGAAGTCCCATAGGCAGAACCCAGTTCCCAGAAAAGGGGACAGAGCCCCCAAATATGTTATCTACAGTCATTTCATCACTCAGGCCATATTCTGAAATATGAGGAAACGCTCTAGTGGCTAATAGGAATCCTTATTTACTCTCCATTGTCTAAAGGAGAGAGTGGGCAAGTCATTTATGACACGACCTTGTGGTTTAGGACTGTTCTGGGAACAGAAGTTCAGCCCTCTGGCTCACCCCCTCCTCTCTTGTCAGATCTTCTCACTGTCTTTCATCAGCAATTTAGGATAAGGGACAGAATTGGCAACCAAGGACCACTGTCTCCTTTGGGGAGGCTTCAGGTGGGTGAAAGACAACTCAGAGAGCAGTTTCAGAGTTCCTGCTGCACAGGAGGGTCAACCTAGGGAGATGGAGGGATGAGGCTGTGCTTATTGACAGGTAAGAAGAGGACTTCCCAAAGGTTCTCCAAGTGAAGGCAGATGAATCTCAGAACCACAGAGGTTAGGGATGGCATGGATTCAAGGTGGGGATGAATGAGGTCATGTCTCAAGGCCAACCTTCCGTCCTTCCTTTCTATTTGGCATGGCCTTGCTGGGGAGAGAGGAAACTTCTCCCCGTCCCCTCACCCATCGTGCTTCTGCCTCTCTATATGGAGGAGGACAGAACTTCTCTCAGTCCTCTTTCCCACTCTGGTGGGTATTGGGGGGAACATTCATGCCCCCCTTTATAGGTTCTCTCTCCATAAGAGGAAGGGCGGCTCTCAGAGCTAGTAGCCACTGTACATAAGAGGTTTGTGAACACTTTTCCACTTCCTCTTTTACTTCCTACCTCACATCAACATGGTTCCAGGATGGGGGTAACCCAGCCAGCTTCACTGGTGGACATCGGAAGCACTGACACATTCACTATTTTGTCCCACTCTTTTTTCTCTACAAATATGCTTCAAATTGGTCTTTCAGGGCAGCCCAGGTGGCTCAGTGGTTTAGCGCTGACTTCGGTCCAGGGCCTGATCCTGGAGACCCGGGATTGAGTCCCACATCGGGCTTCCTGTGTGGAGCCTGCTTCTCCCTCTGCCTGTGTCTCTGCCTCTCTCTCTCTCTCTCTCTCTCTCTCTCTCTGTCTCTCATGAATAAATAAATAAAAATATTAAAAAAAAACAAAACTGGCCTTTCCTAGCACCATATCCTTAGGTTCTGGTTTTACACTAGGCAGATTTGGGAAAGTGGAACAGTTGCCACTTTGACCTTTAGTTAACATCCACCACTTCCCGTAGTTACAATTGTGTGTGTGTGTGTGTGTGTGTGTGTGTGTGTGCGTGTGATGAGAACTTTTCAGATTTATTCTCTGCATGTAAGTGAGATCATACGGTATTTGTCTTCCTCCGGTGGACTTCTTGGAGATTTCTCATGGATTGAGTAGCAGCTCAAAGATCAGTAGCCAATTGTGAAACAAAATGCAGCTAACTAAACTTATTGTGGAGATTGTTTTGCAATATAAACATACACCAAATCATTGTGTTGTATACCTAAAACTAAAACAATGTTATGTGTCAGTTCTATCTCAATAACATCGGGAGAGGAAAAAAGAATCTTGGAGAAGGAGGAGACATTTCCCCCAATACGCTTAGGAGACCCAGGATCTAGAAGTACAACGCAGGCTGAAGGTAACTTAATTTGTTTCACCAATGATTTTATCCTTCGTGCTACCTAAATCACCGCAAGTAAAAATGTGGGACACCTTAGAGACTTCCATGCTCGTTAATCCGTGATGGAGGAAGGAGGATGTTTAGAGACAGGCACTGAGGTGAAAATATTTTGGTTTTATGTTCAAAAATGGTTTAATTGCTTGTTGGCATCATCAGAAGGTTTTCTCCACTGTGACCTCAGACAGATTCAGGTTATGCAGTGTATTCTCTTTTACCCGCCTGCTCTTCTCACGTTACCTGGATGGCATGAGAACCCACAAGGGGCTCCCCTGAAGGCAGTGGGCCAAGTGATCTCAAATGCCCTGGTGGGCACCTTTCCCTTTCTAGGGGAAAGAGTAGGGGCCTCTGAGATCCTGAATATACATCCCTAGGGCCTTCTAGAATTGGGTCAGACCCTCTGCCCCAGCTGCCTGTGCTTCCTAGGAGATGGTGTCTCCTGGTGATCTTGCAGGTAAATGGAACAAAGAGAAGCAATCCATCGAGAACCTGGCTGGTTGTAGACCATCTTTGGCTCACCCGCAGCCCTTCACCCAAAGTCCCCCACATTGCCCTTTAAAAAAATGCACAGGGCAGCCCCAGTGGCGCAGCAGTTTAGTGCCGCCTGCAGCCCGGGGTTTGATCCTGGGGACCCTGGATGAGTCCTATGTCGGGCTCCCTGCATGGAGCCTGCTTCTCCCTCTGCCTGTGCCTCTGCCTCTCTCTCTCTCTCTCTCTCTCTCTCTGTGTGTGTGTGTGTGTCTATAAATAAATAAATAAAATCTTTGAAAAAATATAAATAAATAAATAAATAAATAAATAAATAAATAAATAAATGCACAAAGCGGCGCTATGTTGGGACAGAGATTCCAGAGGCTCACGACCTCTGTGGTCCGTAGGAACCACTATGAGGAGAGCCCCGGGAAGAATTTGCCATTTTCAGTGGGAAACAAGTGGAGGCTACTACTTATGATGACTTTGTATTTTGGACCTGGATTTGCTGCCCCTTTTTTTATAGTAAGACATGAACTGCCTAAGAAATAAGGATGTTTTAATTGATCCACTAAACCGATGTGAAAAGGAACATTTTAAGAGGTGCAGTCTCTGAAAAATGGATCAAACTCTTGAATTCAACATACTCAACATGTTTGTAAATAAACTTATGGCATGAATCTTTAATGCCTCTTCGCTGAAAAAAAAAATCTGCACAAGAGCATATAGTAACCATTATATAAAATTTAGAAAATGCAAATAAGCAAAAAGAAAACAACCACCTGAAACCCCACCTGCTGGGTGGCCACTGTCAACATTCTTTTTTTCACTGTCAACATTTTGCTATGTGTCCTCTTAGATCATGTTCAAGCACATGTGTGGAGTTTATCTACAAAAAAAAAAAAAAAAAAAGGAATCCTGCTATGCAATCCTCTTTTGTAACCTGCCATTTAAAATCTAACAACATTAAATAAATAAATAAATAAATAAATAAATAAATAAATAAATAAAATAAAATAAAATAAAATCTAACAACATATTGTGACGCTTTGTCCTTGGTGCTATCCGTGAGTCCACAGCAACATTTTGAGTGGCTGCATCCTCCTCCGAGGCAAGGCTCTGTACCATCATTTATTAGCCAAGCCCATCATTGGATTGTTGGGTTTCTCCAGTGTTCTGGTGCCGTTATGAACAGCAGTGCCATAGCGTCCTTGTGCATTCCCCTTCCAAAACTATTGGGTTATCTCCCATGAATGCAATCCTAGAAATGCAAATGCCGGGATAAAGCGGTGTACTTGCTTAAGGCTTTTGTTGCATATTGCCAACTTAACCCACCTCAAAGGTCACCAACTGATGCTTCTACCGCAGTATATGGGAGGGCCCATTTCCCCATAGCCATGGCAACAGTTGACGTCCTATCTGCCCACCCCAGCGGTGGTTGAAGAATCACAAGTGTGTGGGAGAAAGTGCTCAGGGATGGGGGACCCGGCTCCACCCTAGCAAGTCATGGCTCTCCCCCGGATCTAAGCTTCCTTTGTAAAGTATCTCATGGGCCCAATAACCAGCAAGGCCTCCGGCAGCGTGGGCCTGGGACGGTGGGCCTCCTCAGATGGGGTCTGGACCCGCTCCCAGGGTTTTTGCTCTTAATGGTGAGCAGGTCTCAGGCCTACCACCCGACCAGGTGGCACCCGTCTCCCTCCTCTGGCCCAAGGCCCCTTGCCCCGGGGGTAAGCCAGGCCTGGCCCCTCTGCAGCAGGCTGGAAGGGGAAAAGGACAAGCACACGAGTCATAGCTTCCCCCAGAGCTGTGCTTTCACAAATACCTTGTGGGTTGTGGCTCCCTCCTTGGGTCCCTGCTGGCTTTCCACACGATTTATTAAAAGTTTGCAGCTACTTTATCCGTATGTTGAGAAGAAAATCTGTGCCATCAGTCAGCAAGCCCCAGAGCTCATCCCAGACCTTGGGACCTAGAGAAAGCTGAACAAGGGGGAAGAGCGAATGGCCCCCACTGTTCTGATGATGCGTTGCTTCCCCTGTGCTGTGCGTTCCTAGCCAGCTCCACAGCAGCAGCATCTCCCTGCAGCCCGGGAGGAGGTTGGCTTCCCTCCACCCCCCACCCCCCAATCTGCAAGTTGCGGTCCACGAGGCCTCGAGTCTCCACGGGGAAGGCGGGTGATTTATGGGGAATGGATCTTTTTTTTTTTAATTTTTTTTTATTTATTTACGATAGTCACACACAGAGAGAGAGAGAGGCAGAGACACAGGCAGAGGGAGAAGCAGGCTCCAAGCACCGGGAGCCCGACGTGGAACCCGATCCCGGGTCTCCAGGATCGCGCCCTGGGCCAAAGGCAGGCGCCAAACCGCTGCGCCACCCAGGGATCCCGGGAATGGATCTTCAATCAGCTTCATTCCGGCTTCCGGGCTCTCCATCCGCTCCCGCTGGATCCTAACTCCTCAATACCCCCCCCCCCCCCGCCCCCGCACTCCCTGGTCCCATGACTCTCACATGATACACCCCTGAGCTCCTTTGCGCAGCGCTGCCTCCTCGGGTGATAGTGCCTGGCCCTGCACCTTGTGCCGGGAGATGTGAAGGGGCCCGTGTGGGTCCTTCTCGCCACCCCGGGGAACCCGGATGGAGCAGCAGAAGTAACAACGGTGGGGAGGCTCACCGGGGTAAGGGAGCTTCTCGGCTTTCGGTTCTCTGTCCATTATAGAGAAGTTTCAAAACTTCTCCCAACTGCATCTTCAGAAGTCATGGAGCATCTGCAGCATCTCTGGGGTCTCCATCCTGCAGGATAATGCAGTGGAAGGTTCGAGAGGGAGCCTGCCTGTCTACACAGCACGTGCAATTCACGTAGGACGGGCTGACCAAGAGCTTGGCCGGAGCGCTGGGCTGGCAGTTAGCACATTGGAAACAAGGCCTGCTCCATCCAGAGCTAGAAAGGACTCCAGGGTGATTCTTGTCAAACGGCCTCATTTCTTTTTCTCATTCCCCCACCCGCCTTCCTTCCTCCCTCATAGCCATCCAGAGACCCGAGCAGGGCGGTGAAGGAATATTGGCCTCAGACGCAGAACCCAGGTGCTTGAGCTCCACCGTGGGAGTGTGCGAACTGGGTCAGAGAAGGTGAGGAGGCCCCAGGAGGCTTCTGGAACCCAGGCGTGAAGGAGCCAGTCACAGGCTGGGCTTCCCAGTCGTGACCATCTTCACAGCCCAGATCTTAATGGCAGGGCTGCCATCTAGGAGGCCTTGATGAGGCTCTGCAGATTCACGGCGGCCCAGAGTTCTTCCCCTGGAGAAAGTGGCCAGGCCTAAGTGGGGACCCCGGTGATACGAGCCCCGACCTCTGACCCGAATCTCTTGCTCCCTTTTTCCTCACCTGTGCTTTCTGCCCCAGCCCCCTCATCAGTCAGGCCATTCTCCTTTCTCTCTCCAGTTTGTCACCCTCAGCCCTGCCCCTGGGCCTTGTCGCCAAGGCTGCCAGGTGCCTGGAAGGCCGCGTTAGGCGCTTAATCCCACCTGCTCCGTGAAGACTTCTCTGACCACTTCAGACTACACAGCACTTCACGGGCAGCACTGATGGACTCCGTAATTATATTACAGTCGTCTCTCAAGAGTCCACTCTGGGGGGGCCCTTGCCTCTCCTTCACTTGTAGGCAGAGTGCCTCGTCCTCTGAGCCTGGAGCTGAGCGGAACTTCTCTGGAGCCCATGGCGGTTGTGTGTCCACCTTCCTCCAGGGCTGTCAGCATCTTTGGGCCAGGCCTCTGCCGTTTTTTTTCTTTGAGCCCCTAGCATCTGGCCCAGTGCCTGGCACTTATTCATCATACAGATACAGGTCAGGGCTAGGGGAAGAGTAAAGAGGGGAGATGCTGCAAAGTTAAAAGAAGCTTCTGGGGGATCCCTGGGTGGCTCAGCGGTTTAGCACCTGCCTTCAGCCCAGGGCGTGATCCTGGAGTCCCGGGATCAAGTCCCACGTCAGGTTCCCTGCATGAAGCCTGCTTCTCCCTCTGCCTGTGTCTCTGCCTCTCTCTCTGTGTGTCTCTCATGAATAAATAAAATAAAATCTTTAAAAAAAAAAAAAAGAAGAAGCTTCTGTCCTCTTACAAGGGTTAGTTCCAGTGTTGGCTACAACAACAGTCCTCAAAGTGTGGTGTGGAGATCACTGGGGGCCCTCAAGACTCTTTCGGGGGACTCTGCGGTCAAAACTGTTTTCAAAATATATATTAGGATATTATTTGCTTTTTCCCCTCCCATTCTTTCACAATGCAGGCTGGTGTTTTCCAGAAGCTACAGAGTGTATGATATCACAAAAGATTAAAGGCAGAAATAGATACAAGAATCCAGCTGTCCTCTACTAAGCCAGACACTAAAGAGAGGATTTGCAAAAATGCAATACAATGCCACTCTTCTCATTAATTTTTTCTTTGAAAATATTGCTGTTTTTCATGTTTTTAAAAAAGATTTTATTTATTTATTTGATAGATAGAGAGAGAGAGAGAGAGAGCGCACAGCAGGCAGAGAAGCAGGCAGAGGGAGAGGGAGAAGCAGACTCCCCACTGAGCGGAGAGCCCGCTGGGGGGCTTAATCCCAGGACCCTATGATCATGACCTGAGCCGAAGGCAGACACATAACTGACTGAACCACCCAGGCTCCTCATAGCTGATTTTCATAAAAACATGCTATTAATGCTAACATGTAATGGGCTCATTATGGTGACTTAAAAAGTAAGTTAATAAATATTTTAAACATTTCTTAGTTTTCATTTCTAATACAGTTAACATCAACAGCCATAACCCACATAAACAAGAGTTCTTTGGGATCCCCAATAATCTTTAAGACTGAAAAGAGGTCCTGAGACCCAAAAGTCTCAGATTCTTTGCACTAGAGCCTGAATATGATTTGCAAGTCTGGTAGTCAGCACCCCTTCCCCTCTACAAATGCCCAATTTCCAGTTCTCTTTTATTCCTGGAGCCTGTGACTGAATTTTGGGGTTACTCTTAGCTCTGGGTAATCCACAAAGTGTGGCTCTCAGTGGCCCTCCATGGCCGCATGCTGAAGAGGACAGACCACAGCTGTGTGAGAAAGGGAGCTTAGGGAGGGACTCTGGGCACTCTCCCTCACAGTGGCCTACAGGTCTCTCCCACCCCCCCAGCCCCCAATCCTTGTAGAGGCTCACGAGTCTCTCTTATCACCTCAGAAATTACTTAATCTCGTTCCACACAACTGACCAATCCAACAACCGGCCCCTCTCGGCTCACAAACCCTTTTCCCGGAGCAAGACCTGAGAGAGCATTTCTCAAGGCCTATCCTTGAGGATTAGCCGAGCCCCAATTTTCACTCTCCCTTGGAGATGCCAGGGGGAGTGGGGAGAGTGAGGAAGAAAGGCACGTCCTTCCCAGAAGGCAGCTGCAGGGCACTGTCCCCAATAAACCTACACAGAATGAACTGCACACCTCAGAATCCCCAAAACCATCTAAGCAGAGGCCCAGACTGAAGGACGATATGCGTGAGCCACTGTTGCCATGAGAAGGTGGAAGAGCTTGCTGCTCCCTTC